CGGACGTGCTGTGAGCAGCGCCTCTTCACGGGGGCGCCTGTCAACAGGACGAGATCCGCCGCCCGGCCGAGTTCGCGCCCAAGTTCGTCGCGGCGCTGCCCGGCGCTGCGTTCCGCTGGGTCGAAGAGTGCGGGCACTCGCCGCACCTCGAGCAGGCGAGATAGGGGGAGACAGGGGGAGATTCCGGGAGATATGGGCACTCGCCGCACCTCGAGCCGCCACGTGCAACCCCAGCGCGGGCCAAACTCCGGATGCTCTCTCACCGCTATTGACCCGCTATCGACCCGCATCTACGCTCGCCCCGCGCCACGATGCCTCTGACGCCTGTTCCCGCCTCGCGGTGCTCGGCAGCCGGACGCGCTCGCGGCCGCCGTGCGGGCCTTCCTCGACTCTGGGCCCGACGCCGTGGCCGGCGATGACGATGTCTCCGAGATCGTTCGCCTCGCCAACCGCGGCGCGCTCGAGAAGCTCGCCGACGGCGCGGGGCGGGGCGGGGCTCGGCGGCGCCTGTCTGGGAGCCCCGCCGAAAGGTTTGTGAGTCCTGCCGTAGGCGTCAAGGAGCTCGACGCATTCCTCGACACGCCAATCCTCGACCCCAACGAGCGGGGCGGGCCCCTCGAGCCGCTCAAGGCTTTCGTGCGGAGCGAGCCGGAGACGGCGCAGGTTGCGGCCTCGGTGCTCGCCCTGACCTTCTTCTTCGTGCTCGCGCGCGGCCTGGTGGCCGTGCTTGGCTGAGAGGCGCGGCGATAATGAATGAACGACGCAGCCGCGTGCCTCCCACCTCCCTTTCTGCATTCCCAAATGGGAAAAGCTAAAGCCTAGTTTACCGCTAAAAAAATTTGGTAAAAAAATATCCGTACAGGTCTCGCGCGGTGTGTGCGTCTGGGGGGGCGCCCCCCCCATTTTTGTTTACCGATGCGTCCTAGAATGCAAAAACGCATTCTAGGAAGCACTTTTCATCTCAAAGATACCATGTGTCTCGGGTACACAGGGCATTCTAGGATGCGACGGCTGTCCTGGAGGATAGCCGCGCCGTGTCTTTTGTTACGCGTTCCATCTTAGACGCCACAAGCATCTATAGATGCACAGCTGTTCTGAGATGGCAATTGCATACTAGATCACATTTTACTATACTTGGACAGGGAAGCGTCTCAGGAGACACCGTGTGTCGGGTGCACCGGGCACCGAGGGGGGAGCAGGGAGCACGAAATCCAGACGAAATCGAAAAGGCGGTGTGATCTCTCGGCACCCGAGGCCGAGGGCGTGGGCGTGCGCCTAACACGGAAGAGACAGCGTACTTCCGATGTATGTATGTAGAAAGATGAACAACAGGCGGGCTCAGACTGGACACCAACGCGGTATGGGTGGACGCGGGACAGATGATGACGACACGCACGAACGACACACAGACACAAACAAGCTCACAAGACACACAGCCAGCTTCAGAGAGTCGGGCCAGCGAGCGCGTTTTCTTGTTTGACTTGCCGATTGAGGGACCGGGCATCCCGACTCTCGCTCCTGCCTGCTCCTGCTCCTGTGCTCCTGCTCCTGCTCCTCGCTCCTCGCTCGGTGAGCTGTCGCCCACCAGCGCGCGGCGACTGCGCGCACACCGTGCCCGCCGGCTCGCCGCCCTCCTCACCACCCGTCGGCGCTGTCCGCAGGCATGTGAGTCAGAACGGCGACCGCGCAGCGCGCGCTGGTGTCTTGCTCGCCACCACCCTCTCGCCCCCGCTCCGTGACCGCCGCCGCCCGCGCCACCGCCGCCCCAACACCGCCTCGCGCCTCGCGCCTCACCCTCGCCGTCCCCGCCGCCCGCCCTCGACCTCGCGACGGCGTCCTTCTGGGGATCTGCGGGTGGCTTGCCCG